ATTTCAACAGGTGTTGCAAGAAGTGATGTGTGAAATGAAGGTTTGTGTGAAATATTGGTTTTGGCATAACCTTTATTAGCCGTTTACATAATAGCTATTTTAAATTCAGAGATGATAAATGGCGTGGCGCGAAGTGTAACGCCTGTGTATTTCAAAAATGTACTCAATTTGGGTAGCTATAAAGACGCCTTTATTTGGGTTGTAACTTTAGGTTGTAAGTTTTTCTTTATTTTTTTTTTTTCAAGCGCAGTTTGATTCATTTAGAGATTGAGCTATCACATTTTTTTATGTCTAAAAAATCTTTTCTTCTGCTCAACAACTTTGGTCAAACTCAAACAAAACCCCTCCCATCTGGACTGGAATTTTTTCGTCGTGCGATGAGGAAGTTTTCCTTTCACTGCTCACGTTGGAGGTCAACCAATCAAATCGCTCGGGGAACCTAACGGAAAACGCGAATTCGGAGAAGCCGCTGCTAAATACTGCTCCCAAGAAATTTTGGCGGTATCTTTCACGTAGGAGGAATGACATTTCCAAATTGGTTAATGATGGTGAGCCAGTAGTTGAAAAAGTTGAAATAGCCAACACGTTTAATAATTTCTTTTTCTACGGTATTTTCAAGCGACGATGGTGTGTCACCATGTTCAATGAATACTCTGATATTCCAGCGATCGATGATGTACTTTTGTCTTATAAATGAATTTTTTCGCTACTACTTAACGGTGACCCCTCCAAGTCAGAAGGACCTGACGAAGTCCCAAACTCATTTTTGAAGAGATATGCTGAATAGTCTGCCATATACCTCAAAAATTTTCAGGTATGATTGCTTTCTGCTTCTATTCCAGACGATTGGAAAATGGCTAAAGTTGTTCCAATCCTGAAGTCGGGTGATGTGTACGATGTACCGAACAATCGGTCGATTTCAATAACCTCCAAGCTGCTGCACACTTCTTCAACACAGTTTCGAAGCATATAAACACCTTTTATCTAATCATTCCATACTCAATAATAGGCAACACGGATTTAGAAAGGGCCTGTCCACTGTGACGCAGCTAACTGATGTCGTACATTATTTTTCACGCGTTTTAGACGCTAAAGGTCAGGCAGATGTCGTCTTTCTAGACTTCAAGAAAGCCTTCGATAAGGTAAGCCATCAGAAGTTAATAATCAAATTACAATTGATTAAAAAACAGCTCATGCTTGCGTGGATTGATTCCCTTTTAAATAAGCGTAGTTTGTTAGTATTCAGAACACGCACTTTGACGTGTGTGACGTGACATCAGAGGCAAGGATCCGTGTTGGGGCCATTACTGTTTTTAATATTTATAAACGACTTATTATGTGATGAAGATGTGCACGCTAGAGTGTTCGCAGACGATTGTTAAGTATTTGCTGAAGTCCAGACGGTATCCGATCAAGAGCTAAATCGTTCTTTGGCCAAACTAGGTGAATGGTGTGCCACGTGGCAAATGTCTTTGTGCATGACCGACACCCACAAACGTCAACCGCTAGTGATTCCTTATAACCTTAATAGTACATTGTTACCTCGTGTGGAAGGATATAAATACCTAGGCGTCACTATAGCAAACGATTTTAGATGGAATACGCACGTCCGTAATATAGTTAAAAAGGCTAATAGGGTTTTTTTTTTACGCAGATCCCTTAGACATGCGTCCGTTGAAATGAAGCTTTTAACGTATAAAACGTTGGTGAGACCCTTACTTTAATATGCTTCAGAAGTATGCGACCCTTACGTCATCTATCTTGAACAGGAAGTGGAAAGTGTTCAACGCCTTGCCCTGTGCGCTTTACATTTTCTAGATACCACCGACTTCAGTCCCCCACACAGCTTTGTTCTCAAGCCTATGACTCTCAAACTAAGCGTCTAAAACTTCTTTTTTATAGAGATCTTACTAACCTTTTTTATATCGACACAGCATTACATGTTAGACCTCACCAGCCCAGAATTTCAAGAAATAAGCACAGTAGGCATCTACAAGAATACAGATACAATAAAGAGTGTTATAAAAATTAGTTGTTTTCTTTTCACGCACAATACGCGAATGGAATGCACTGCCCGAAAATGTTGTCTTGCAGCCAAGCTCAGGATTTTTTGTCTACATTGAGCGCGGTTCCTGAAATTTAGATATGTATGTACGAATCCAAGTGACTTTGTTTTACCCCTGCATATTTTGTTTAAAGTGTTCTTTTCCCACTCCTCTAAGAGCCCTAAACACAGGACTAATAGTATGCGAGATAAATAATAGTCACTAATTGCGTCTACTAAAAAGAAAAAAAAGAAAAGAAAAACATACGCACACTGAAGTGTCCAAAAAATAAACGATTGGAAACGTTTTCGGAATAATTGAAATGCCACGTAAAAAAATGCAACATCTGCTTCTTTAAAAAAAAAAAGTATAAGGTTATTTTTAATTTCGATTTTTCTTTTACTCCTACATGGATCAGCGCTGCTTCTGGTGACGAAATTTACTACGACGGAAACCCCCGAAATTTTCGGATGAATAAGTAGTTTATCTAAGGATGTGAAAAGACGGTGAGAGTGCAGGCGAGCTGGTGGTAGCTAATCATGTCGTATTACACCTGAGACTGCGGTGGAAGAAATCGGAAGAACTTTCAGTAAAGGAACAGACACAGAGAACGTCTCAAAACTGAAGACGTTCTCTGTGTCTGTTCCTTCTACTGAAAGTTCTTCCGATTTCTTCCACCGCAGTCTCAGGTGTAATACGACATGATTATCTAAGGATCGTGGTTACAGGGAGTCAAAACTTTCCGACAACATCCCTCGCGAGTTCTGAAAACTAATGACTGAAATCTGTAAGAATTTCCACCCAAAATGAAGAGATAAATGGTGAAAATTATGGAGTGGGAAATCCTTAAAAATGCGACAGCAAAATTAAAACAAAAATACTACGAATTAACCTGCTACAGACAACGCGAGACGGGAGCTTGTACCGCAGATCGCGGAAACAGTAGCGAGTTTTAGTAGACCGTGTTTCCCGCTCCGCTAAGCCCCTCCGCTAGCCGGAACTCTACAGCCAAGGCCATCGGCGCGCAGGCGCAGTGGCGGTTTCTTCGTAGCGGAGGGCTAGCGGAGGGGGAAACACGGTCTACTAAAACTCCCTAATAGAGTTTTAGGGAACCGTTTTTTGCACATCCGGTACGGTAACGATAGGCCCTCCGGTACGAACTGCGCATGCGAGCCTTCTGTGGAAGCGCATGCGCAGTTCGTACCGGAGGACCCATTGTACCGTATCGGATGGGCAAAACGGTTCCCTGAAACTCTCTAGTAACTTCGCGTTCCACGGTGTCATAGACAACATAGACAAGCGGAAATTCGCTACGAGCTCCTGTGTCACGGGAATTATATCGCAGGAGGCGGACGCAGCAGGTTCGCGCTTCACGGTGCCATAAACAGGCCGCAATTCGCTTCGAACTTGCACGTCACGGGAACCGATATCGCGCGCGCACAAAAAAAGCGGGAACTTGCTACTAGAGAGTTTTAGTAGATCGTTCCCATGACTCCGATAACGATATCCCGATACTTCGCCACCGCCTCCCTTGCGCATGCATAGTATCGTTATCGGGGCTATCGGAGGTATCGGAACGATCTACTAAAACTCTCTATTAACTCCCACACGTACAGGTGGCGCATATCGTGCGTTTCATGCAATTCAAGTTGGCCGTCGCGTGATCTCTAACGGGGGAGTGGGCGACGCTTCGGAATTGATACGTTACGAATATCCAGCCCAAAAAACGAGATGGGCGATCTCTCGGGGGCCGGCGTTCATATCGGGTTTTATGGGCTTACTTTTTAAAAATGTTGCTTTTAAAGTAAATCGTAACTTGAAGGTTGCGTCCACCCATCATGCACTAAAAATGAGGCGAATAGTCGATGTATACATACCTTCCGGAGGCAGAGACGACAAAGAACTTTTAGAGAAGTGAGTCGCACGGGGATCCTAGATTTCTACGTTGTTGTTGTTTATTTTGTAATAAAGAAAATAAATATAGTGAAAAGGAAGGAAACGGAAACGCGTAGGACGAAAGGTTAGTCTCCCGTAAGCGGGGTCAGCTTTTTCGTCCTACAGGAAGAGGGAGAGGGGGAAAAGATATAGGTAGAAATGGTTAAAAAAAAAAAAAAAAAACTGTACATTGGCCCTTAGACAGGGCGCATAAAAGAGTTAGGGCGAGTTCTCGATGTCGTGATTTGCGCTGATCAGGCTGTTATTTTTCAAAGTCGAGAAGAGAGTCCTGCCTCATCCACGAAGTCAAGCACCGCCTGGAGTGCAGCGGTCCGCTTGGCCCGTAGTCCTCTCGGGAATAGGAGTTCTTGTGTAGTGCTAGCATTACGAGATTTAGATACTTCAATACTGGCTGGAACAATATCTTAGGTCCCACTGTCACATGCCACATTTTATGCAGAATTCAGTACCAGTCAGGGCCGTAACCGGGGGGGGGGGGGGGGGGGGGGGGGGGGTTAGGGGGTTCTGACGCCCCCCCGAAATTTTTTTCTGGGTACGGCCCTGGTCGGTGCACTTGCACCCAGCCGATTTTAATCTCCACCTCTGCGCACGCGCAGTGGCGCCGGTCGGCTACCGGGTACCAAACCGGGACCGGTTTGCTGTAACTCTCCTTTATATACCACCGATGCACGATTCATAGGCGAAAATAAGACAATAGACACTTTCAAAATGGCCGCCGTTGGCCCCGAAAACCCCACCCCCGAAATTTTTTTCTGGGTACGGCCCTGGTACCAGTGCAATACTTTTAGCTGCTGTTCCCGGTAACTTTTACTGGAACAGCAGTAGCAGTAAGAGCTAAACAAACAACTAAAGAACTGCCTTACAATATGCAGCACCAGTTCAGCAGTGGTTTTATTCCCTTTGTTGCACTGTTTACAGGGCAGATTCACATTTTGCAGCTACTTAAGTACACTCCACACAAAGCAGTTCACCCCGAGTAAGCACGCCGGACAACGAGGCTATCCACAATAGAAAGTTATCTTTATTCTCTTGTCGAACAAAGCAATCTGTACAGCAAACGAACGGATGTGTCTTTTCACACAAACAAAACGCAAGGAGAAAGGGGACAGCCACTGCACAGTGCAGCTAGTACAAAAGACAAGTGTGATGAATGCTGAACAAGCACTACAAAGAATAATATGTACAAGCCCGATACGTGCGTCGTTTTTTTTTCTTCTCGGGAGGGCAACGCTCTCGCACCATTCTGCCAAACAAGGGCGACACTGCTGTCTCGGTCGTCAGTACGGTATATTACAGGGATGGACCAAGGGACGCAGTTGGTGGTCGGGCATGATTTCGATCGTGACTGGCCTTAATTCTTTGAAGTTTAACTGCTCAGATTAAGTGTTGTTGAAATTCAAGCACTAGGGACGAGGCCTGACGCCCTCGACTCAGTTCAGTCTCTCAGAGACGCTTCCACAGCCGCAACTCGTAAATCTGGCTGACGCCAAAAAACCCGCTTTGACGTCCGCCGGCCTTACGGCCAATCAAATGTCTCGTACGACGGTAACGGGTGGAGAGGGACACCTAAGCGAAACGGGCTTCGGAGCATAACTTCATGGTAACTATGTACATTGAGATGCGTCGACGACATGCACACACGCAGACACACATGCTTGCGCAAGGGGTTGATACCAAAGACAAGGAGAGAAAAGAAAAAATCTTTAGATGCAGGAAAAATGGAGGGCGTCTCTTTCTTTTTACAAAAACCACAGCACACGGCTCCATCCCGGACACGCTTCGTGGCTCCCGCCGCTGCCGAAATCAAAGAAGCGGAAACGTGACAGTCGCCGTACGATGGCATCGGTGACATGACTCTCTCCCGGCAACATTGCCAAGACCGAAAAAAGGAAAAAAAAAAAAAAAAAAAAAGATTGTCCACTTCACGAGCAAATCTGGCGTTGTCTTCTTTCCCGAGTTCCTCGCAAGACAAAACTCCACCGGTGGCAGGCCGCGCTTTATTTCAGACGAAAGAAATGAAGCGAGTCTCCGACGTATTCACAGGGGGCGCTCGGTCTCACCGACGTTGCCCCAATCAAACCCCACAATCCGCCGGTCACAAACGAGACGACGGCTCGACCAAATAAGGCTGTTTTCCCCAAGAACGTCGGTGTAGTGGCGACGCCGGGCGCTACTGCGCCAGTTGTTCCCTTCGCTTCCTTAAAAAAAATTTCCGAATTCATTTTAAAAAAAAAGAACCCACAAATAAACAAACAAACAGGGCCATATAAAACAACAAAAACCAAGGGTGAAATCAAAGCGACGTCCCGCGTATGAAGGCTTGTGCAGCGCTGTGTGTTTAGTCCTGGTCAAAGGTGAAGGTCACCTTCTGCGAGTCTATGTCCGACAGCCTCTGGCCTGTGCCGTTTCTGCAAGACACACAAACAAAAAGAAGGGGACAAAAACAAGGCCCGTTGTAGTCTCTCTCTAGCCTCTACGCATCACTAAGATACAGCAGAACAAAACACTCCATGTGCACGCACACCTCTGAGCACCCAATACATAACCCGTAAACTCGCACCTTTGTTTGCGAAATAAATCCAGAGCCTGCCAGTGAGAAGCGGTAAAGGCTGGCCCACGCGAGGAACCCTTTCTGTACCTCCGACGACTTTTTTTTTTTTCGTACAAGAAACAAACAAAAAGGTAGCTATAGTCGGCGACAGGTTAAGAATTCTGCAGATGGCCCACCCAGAGCTTGCACCAAAGGCACAAAGCTCGCGCTGGAGGCAGAGCGCCTACTGAATTCTTAACCTGTCACTGACTTCAGACTGCGTAGGTCTGTTGACAGTCTTTGGGTCGTCATAAAGAGGCCTCCCGTCGCACGGGCACACGACGAGGACGAAGAACAAGAAAGCAGAGACAGAAAGAAAGAGACAAAGATGACCAAAGAGAAGATGCCCAACAGAAAAGACAGAAAGCGGAAAATGTAGCACCAGCCCTTTCGACGGCTGACTTCGCAACTCGTCGCTATACAGCGTAGGGTATTCTCGAGCGCTGCTTGTCCGCATAATAGGTATGCAGAAATTGTGGAATTAACAAATTAAATTAACTTAGTAGGAAGGTGCCCGTCCACATTTCGTCGTAAGTGTATAAGGGGTAGAGTGCCTAAAGCAAGACATCTCTCAAGCAGGCTTCATAGGTGCTACTGTCATTTTGAAAACGCTCAATGAAATTTGAATGTGACACTTTGTAAGGTCCTAGTCTCGAAATTGATAAATTAAAGTAGCCCAGAAGCCTGCAGGCCTTCAAACAATAACTGACATACTAGGGAGGGACTGGCTCATAGCCATGCATCCGTGGGTGGCTCTGATCAACTAAAGATGTGCTTAAACAGGCAAAACGCTTTTATGTAGGGGTGGGGATAGTCGAGGAATTTTGGAGGCTTGGGGAACCCCTGAAGGTACTCTGGGGAAACCGCGGGGAAATCCTGGAGAAAACCCGGGTTTCTAAGAATTCAGTTCGAGAAGCCCCGTAGCTAACGCTACACATTGCTTCATCCGTCTCACGACTCGGGGCCATTCACACAGTGGTATTTGATACAATTGCGAGTTGGCATGCACTGAAGCGACTCATTGCTCAGTTGCCATGGTAACCCACAAAAGTATTCCGACTTAGGCCCCTGCATCGCAGTTCAGTGCCACCATGTGAACGGGCCATCGTACTACGGAAACGGCGCTCGAGAACACCACACAACTGCAAGCTTCGGCGACTCTAAAGCACGAAGCAGGAGGAGAAATGGACATTTAGCAGTGTGTTATCCCGCAAGAAACCCATTTAAAACCCCTTTCCCTCTACACAAACACAAATGGCCACGCTTCCCGCTGCCCCGGATCTTTCCTTTATTCGACAACACACCGTGATGAAGGCAATGCACGCACACTTGCACACTCGCACACACACGCGGGGAGGGAGAGAGGTTCTCATGTACAATGGAAGAGTGAGCTCATAGCATGGGTGACTAGAACAGCCATGGTGGCATTTTCAAAGGGGGGGGGAGCAGAGGAGGATTTTAGAGGGAGAGGGGGCGGCGGCTACAGAGACAGACGCAGCGTGGAGGGTGACGACCTAGGGCCGTCACGGAAAGTCTGATGTCCCTTGGGCGCCGCTAGAAGGGAAGGCAGCAGAGGGCAAAGCGTGAGTGTCTCGCCACGGTGCACCACTTTACAGACTAGGGATTCTTGCACGCGGTGTAAGAACGGTCCCTCCGCCAATTTCTTTGCGAGTCTTTTGTAAATTATTTGCAGCCGTTATCTACTTCTAAGGTGCCCGTACCTATATATAATCGCAGTAACAAGCCCCCATATAATACTGACCACATTAGAGCCACGCTATGTCCAGGGATAACTTTCTATGTCAGTGAAGCTGAAGCTCATACTAACGCGCGAATATGTGAAAAGTTTAAGTCCCGCATGAGTGCTCAATCTCTAACACAGTGGTGAGTATGCACCGCCGTTCTCACCACAGGAAGTTGTCCCAGAGAGTCAAGTTTGTATTAGCCTGTTATTTGCAACCCAAATGCACCATAAAGCTAGCTGTAGCAGAGTATTAAACATTCGAGGCATGTCTATGAATAGGGGCTGCTCTCGCATACCCGGCCATTCCACGGCGTTTACATCAGTTCCACTCAATTTGCACCGGGCGTATAGTAGAACCGAATATCTGTGAGGGAGAACTCCAATTAGCTAAGGCCTGGGCAGGCACGGAATTTAGTCTGCACTATACTTCACAAAACACAGGATAGGCCGCAGAGTCAGAGTGAAGAGAGCACAGCACACGAGACGCAGCAGGAGAAAGAAAAGAAAGAAGACACACAAAAAGCAGTTCTTTAAAGAAAATGCCTCTATAACATTTGATGCATTGACGTAAGTCAGCACAACCGAGCGCAAAACAAAAATTCCCAGAAGCTTCGTGGAGCAAAGTTCAAAGGGATAGCCAAGATTTCATGCACGGGGAAGCCGTCAGTAGCATTGATTGATCAGTTAAAAACACTAGCTAGGTGCCGCAAGCCGTTGTTCATCTCGTACGTCTCAGCCACACCCGCTCATCCAACCTCACCTCCATGGTTCACGAACGGCATTGCTCTGCATGCTGGGCGGACGGTTAGTGCTGCCAATGTAGCATGCTAAAACATCCACGCCACTAATTGCCTCTTATTGGTTTTGACATGTCTGCAGTAAAACTCTGGGATGCTTTACACATTTGCATCGAGCGCGACCCGCTACGCCGCAATCGTTTGTGTCCGCTTGCAACGAGGGAAAACACTCTGGTACACTGGCGCCATCTATCATCAGTCCCAACAGGTTGCAGGGCGGTCGGTCCCACGGAGATGCAAATGCGTGAACCAGCGTTCGTGGTGTTCTGCCCGTTCGTTTCTTGCAGCTCACTCCCATCGCAGTCCCCTCCCCGCAAGACAGCTAGCACCAAGAAATAAAAAGTAAAAAAGAAGGAAGAGAGAGAACTCACTTGGCCTTGGCGTGGGTGAGGATGTGCGACTTGAGGTTGGTGGACTGGGCAAACTTCTTGTTGCAGCCGTCAAACGGACAGACGTACGGCCGGTCTCCCGTGTGGATGCGGACGTGGGTGCGCAGGTTGAAGTCCAGCGAGAAACGCTTTCCGCAGCCTTCGAACGTGCACTGTGGGGAGATGGGGAGCGCATCTCAACGATGTGCACATCCTCCCCAGAACCTCCTACCGAAATTAATTCGCGGGACAAGGTCGTTGTACCACTCGACGAGACAAGAGGCACTGGGTGGCAGCCTGACAGTAGGAGTCCCTTTTCCCACGACTGAATCAACCAGACAATCCCTGCAAACGCTGGTTCATGCATTTGCGTTTTACCGTGATCAGCTGTACCAAAACTGCTCGTGACTGCTTAGCAGAAAGAGGACGCGCTGGCGCCGTGTATTGGGCGGCCATGGCAGACCCCTGTTCTCCTTATATTTTGTGCATCCTTGTTTCGCCACGCACTGGAAATAATTTCGAAGACGTTATAAGAGACCTTTGCTCGTAGAGAATGTGTAGATTCGATCTCGCAAATACTGCAGAACTTTTGGTCTGGTCGTACGGATCGGAAGACTTCCAAAACTATTTGAGAGAAGTGTGTTCTTTCGTCATGAGCGGTTAGAAGCGCTTGCACTGCGTTCGGCCTCAGTTAAACGCGGATGCGTGAACCAGCCTCGACTCATTTCCCCATAAGTGAATATTTTCACCTTCTGCGAATGAGTATACAATGAAAGCGAGGAGTCGTTTGGGTCCCGGTTGTGGCACAAAGGGTGATCTAACTAAACCCCAAAACAAAGACTACTACTAGTTTCATTATCTCAAGGTATGATCAAATCACCAATGTACAGTAGAACCTCGTTGATACGTTCTTGGTTGATACGTTTTCCTGTCCGTTGCGTTCAAAAACGCCGGTCCCGTTTTACTTCCATAGAGATACATGTATTAGTTTCCTGCCTGTTACGTTTGCTTTCCCGGTTGTTACGTCCAAAAGTGCCGGAATCGCGGCGCCTCGGCGCTCCGGCGCGCCGTGCGCCAAGGTGCCACGCCGGCTTCGAAGCGAAGCGAAGCAGAGCCGAATCACGCAGCGCGGATCGCGCGGCCGCGCGGGCGCCCTCCTTCCCTTTACTCCTTTCCCCCTCTTTCCCGGTCTCCTCACTGGGCTTTGCTGAGCTCTGCGAAAACGCTCGTTCTCTCTTGCTCTTTCTTTTCATCTGTCCTCTCTCTCCGGCGCGAGTTGTTTACGCGCCGCACGCACGCCGCGACGGCTGCACTTCCAGTTTCTGTTCCGCTCGACAGCTCGACTGCGTGAACAGTGCCGTTTCTGAGTGCGTGCGCGTTGACGACGGCCATGACATCCCGAAAGAGAAAAGCACTCTCTTTTAAAGAGAAGTTTGACATACTTCGCACGGTGGATCGAAATCCCAGCCGGAAGAGGTCTGAGGTCGCAAGAGAGCTTGGACTCGCGCCGTCAACTTTAAACAGTATCGTCGCGAGACGAAAGGAGATCGAGGCGAAGGCTCCTTTCTACCAACCAGGCTTTAAACAGGCTCGGGGGGCAAAACACGCAAAGTTAGAGGAGGCCCTGTTGGTATGGTTCAAACAAGCCCGGGCATCTTGTGTCAACATCGACGGAGGCATTCTGCGAGAGAAGGCGCAAGAGATTGCTGATCGTTCGGATATCGAGCATAGCGGACATTGTGGCCGACCTCACTACTGCCGACAACGAAGAAAGTGATGAAGAAGACGAACAAAAAAACCAACGATTACGCTGCACCCACGTTTGCGGACGCGATCGCTGCGTTGGACACCTTGCGCCGCTACGTAAACGTTCATGACTGCGCGGAGAGTGAGAGGGGACTGCGGCTTGTGGAGAAACGACTTTTACTGCATACCATTAATTCGAAGCGGCAGGTGGATATTACGCGTTTTTGTGAACCTGTCTGAGTCCAAAAGAGTTCGGTAAGTGCATAAAATAAACCATTGCATAAGAGCTGCTTTCTATCTTATATAGAGTGCCTTTAAGTGCGGTATCGGTTGCTGCGCTTTCCCGGTTGATACGCTTTTTTTCCGCGGTCCCCTGAAAAACGTATCAACGAGGTTCTACTGTACTTTTGCCACGGCAAAGTTATAATCGAGACGTTGCGGCTCACGCTCAAAAAGTGCTGACCCATTCTCCGTAAGACACCAAGCAGAGGCAAGTTCCGGAAGCGACGTATGAAGACGATATTACAGACACGCTTACGGAGACTGTTTCACAAATGGATTTGCGGAGACGGTTTTACGGAACGTAGACGGGTTTTTTGGAAACGGGTTGACGGAGACAGGTTTAAAGAGACAGGTTTATGAAGATGGGCACAGTCTCTTTCCATGCAGTCGACGCTCCCTCAAATCGTGGAACTTCCAGTACGGGGGAAAACATTGTTTTGTTCGTGCCAGGCAACTGCAAAGCGTTCAGGTTTTATCGCGACTGTCGATCCTTCTTGTTTTGCCCCCTTTAAAATCTTTTTTGCTCGTTCCAAGTTGTAACATTTCATTGATTTTTTTTTTTTTTCTGTTTCCCCATACCAGACAAGTAAATTACGCAACCGAGAACGAGGTTAAACAGGAAAGGCCTGCACAAAGAGGGGATTTATGGAGACGGTTGTACGAAGACAGTTTTAGAGACGGAGGACGACGAAGACGGCTTTACGGACACGGGACGACGAAGGCAGTTTTTGTGGAAACGGTCCTGCGGAGGCGAGTCTACACCAACGGCCGTCGAAAGACTGATTCTAACCTGGAAGGGCTTCTCCCCCGTATGCACCAGCTGATGCCTCTTGAGCTTGGAGCTCTCCACAAAGGCCTTGCCACACTCGGCACACACGTGCACCCGGGGCCCGTGCGTGTGCAGGTGCTTGCGCATCGCCGAGTTGTCCCGGAACATCTTGCTGCAGCCCTGCAAGAGAGCACACAAACGGACGTCACGTCTCTGCCCGGTTCGTAACGTGACCGACCCGAGCGCACGGGAAAACGTCCAGACACCGACGAAAGGAGGAAACGCGAAGGGGGAAGTGGTTTCCAAAAAATCTCGGGGACGGTTCGGCATAGGCTGCGCTCCCGATCGACGCTCCCGTGCCGTGGACAAAGACATAATTTCGCGAAACTTGGGCCTTAATTACGGCTATCAAAAAAAAAATGATTTGGGGGTTAATTTTTGGGGTTTGTTGGTATATACTGAAAAATGCGGAACCCCAGTCGTAACAAGCGTTTTTCGTGTTTACCGAAAAACATCGGCAAAGTTTTCGCGGCAAGTAGAACTGAAGGAGAGTAGACTTCTACGTTTGCTTCTTTGCCCGATAGACCCCTTTTCGAAATGCGCGCCATCTAGTGGCTGGTGCGCCAATTATCCGAGTTTGCCGTTGTTTGGGCACGCACTTCGACCCGAGCACATACTCGATGCGAGGGTTGCGTTGAAGAGGAGCTCGCTTCGGCCCGCATTGAAAACAAGCGCTGCATCAGCAATCGGCGAGGACTCGGATCCAATCGCACGCTCCGTGCCCAAGCAATCGCCAATGTTTATTTATTTATTTATTTCAGTACCTTCAAGGCCCAGGGGGCGTTACAGAAGGGAGTGGTGGAAAACATAAAAACGAACAACAGGTAGTTAACCCAGAAATTTAACAGAGAATGAAAAACGCAGACAACGCAGGTTATTGAGAAAGTACATAACACTCAATGGCGGATCTGAAAGTGAAATCGTCGGTAGTCGTTGCAATGGAAGCAGGCAGGTGGTTCCATTCGTTACTAATCCTTGGGATAAATGAATCGAAAAACAAGTTAGTGCAACAATGTGGCACGTCTACTTTGTTATGGTGGTCTGAACGAGATGAGACGTACGATGGCTCTGAAAAAAGTTCGGTTTTGAGGTGCGGGTTATAATGATATATTTTATGAAATAGCGTGAGTTGCAATATATTCTGCACAGAGAAAGGTTCAAGGTTGCCTTCATAGAGGATATGCTAGATGAACGGGAGTCGTTTTGACAAGACAAAACGCGCGCTGCGATTCTGTATCGATTCTAAGTTATTAATAAGAAATTCCAGGTCTGGGTCCCACACCGAAGATGCATACTCCAGTTTAGAGCGGACGAGTTTTGGGGAGGAGAAGCTTTAAAGGGGTAGGGAAACGAAATTTCAGCGCTCATTTTTTAGCTTTAATGTGTTGCATGTTGCACCCTAACCTCAAAAACACCAGTCTTCCGTTGAAAAGCAAAAGAAAACTAATTTTAAAGTAAATAAACAATCTTTCAATGTGCACCTGGTGGATGCATGCGGAGCCTATTTGGGAGGTAGTCTAGCAACGTTGTGGAATCTGCTACGTAGTCGTGACGTAGCAGATTCCTTCGGAGCAGCGCCGCTCTTTGGCATTTCAACGTTTTCCTTCTTAGCTTTCCTCCTGAACTCAAAAATCGCGCACTGTACCAAACGGTCCAAGAAGACGGAAAGGAAGGAGTCCCCCCTTTCTGGGACCCTCGTTCGTGCAACCGGAAACAGCCATTCTCCTCCTAGAAGATTAGCCCGCCGCTCAAAACTCGAACAAAAGTTGCTTTCCCCACCCCGTTCAGCCCCAAGCTGACAGTGTTGTGGAAGCTACGTGCTCCTTGGGCCAGCCACACGCTCGTCACCCCACGGGTACTCCGAACGGCTAGGTTGTAACGCGCTGACGCTACTGACAGCACCACAATGCTGACAATGCCACCAAGGGCAAAGCTGATAATCACGCCAGCCTTGCTACGTCATGAATGCGGGGAATCTTTTCTTTCTGTTTTTGTTTGCGCCGGATATCCCATGACGCATCGCGCTCTCCGCTCGCTTCTCTTCGAGCGCTTGCTCGAGTGCACCGTTTGGAACGAAAAATATAGCCAATCGTTCAAAATACAAACGTGCGATTATCATTTACGGTTATTATCCGTCATGCTTGACTGATTTCCGAACAAAATCGGAATATTTCAATTTTTGTTTCCGTACCCCTTTAAAGATGATGGTGCCATAGAAAAGTTACGACGCAAATATCCAAGCATACGGTTAGCGTTATTTACTATATGTTTGACATGCATTTGCCAAGACAGATTAGCTGTTATGTGAACCCCTAGGTATTTGTATGACGTTACTTGTTCAAGTGTACTGCCTGAAAGTTGACAATCGAAAATGCTGCCACAAACGGTCTGGTGTGTAATTCTCATTACTTTACACTTGTTAGCATTCAGACACATTTTGCAGATATCACACCAATTAGAGATTTTGTTATGGTCAGACTGAAGCACATAGGAATCGGAACTAGTAGAAATGACTCGAAAAATGACACAGTCGTCAGCAAACAACTTGATGGATGAGTCGACAGAGTTAGGAAGGTCATTAATGTAGATGAGAAAGAGAAGAGGGCCAAGCACAGACCCTTGTGGCACACCTGAAGTAACGGGGGACGAGGATGATTTGAAGCCGTTAGCAACTACAAATGGGGCTCTGTTAGACAAGGAACTTTCAATCCATGCGAGAATGTTAGGGCCAATATTTAATCTGCTTAATTTCAAACAGAGTAGCTGATGAGATACAACGTCGAAAGCTTTAGAAAAGTCCAGAAATATGCAGTCAACATGAGATTCATTATCTAAAGCAGCAAAAAGTTAATGTGTAAATGAAATGGGTTGTGTCTCACAGGAGAACGTCTTACGAAAGCCGTGCTGGCATGATGTAAAAAATGCATTACTCTCAAGGAAACTAACAAGGTTAGAATAAATTATATGCTCTAGGATTTTACAAGGAACACTAGTTAAAGATATCGGTCTGTAATTAAGGGGAGAATGCAAAGTTCCTGATTTAAACGAGGGTACCACCTTGCCCACCTTCCAATCGCCGGGCACAGTACAGGTATCTAGGGACTGTGAAAAAAGTTTCGACAAAATTATGGAGGAGTATACTTCGGTCTTCTGCAGAAACTTTGAGTTAAAATCATCAGGTTCAGATGACAAAGAAACTTTTAAATTTCGGATGAAATGCATCACACCAACCCAGTCAATAAGCACAGAATCCATAGGAGAAAAGCTCGAATCAGCAACATCAGGAAGACAAACGGAGGGTAGATTCAAGAACGACTTTGCAAACACTTCATTAAACACAGAGCAGCATTCAGACTGAGGAAGGGTCACACCATTGTTGTCGTCTAGGTATATCTTATTCTGTTTCGGACCACCAACGATGTCCCAGAACTTTTTAGTGTCGTTTATCAGTAACGAAGGAAGTGTGTTATTAAAGAAAACCCTCTTAGCTTCTTTCACTGCGCTTTTAAAAAGAGCTGTAAATTGACGATAAGCACAAACTGTAAATTGACGATAAGCACACCAGTTGACATGACTCTGACTTTGTTTGGTTTTGCGGTATAATCGCATTTGCTTATTTGAAAGACGCTTTAATGGAACGTTGAACCAAGCGGCTAGATGCCTGCATGAGATTACGCGTAATGGTATGTATTTTTGTACTAAATAATTCACCTTGTCCCAAAAGATATTCCAATTAGTGTCGATAGTATGTTCCGAAAACTCCAGCATGTATTCATCTAAAAACGCTTCAAGCTCTCTGCTTATGGATCGATAGTCGGCCATGTTGTAGTCCCTAATATATTTTGGTTTACTGACTGAACGATGAACAGATCCTTTAAGAGTGAAATTAATAAAGCAATGATCACTTAGACCAGGCAAGTAGGTTATTGAGTTACCAAGTCAGGAGATGTTGTCAAAATGAGATCAAGAATATTGGCACTCGATGATGAAGTTTGTGTAGGTTCTGTTACCATTTGGGAAAAATTAAAATCAGAGCAAAGGTTTACAAATGCCGTGGATTCACTATGTGACTCGGAAACAACCGGGCATGAATCATTCCAAAGTATTTTCGGAAAGTTGAAGTACCTAACAAAAAAAATTAGGCGAATGAGGGTACCTTACGACTATATTAATTAACACGTCATGAAGGTCATTACAAAACGTGGAGGATGCGTTTGGTGGCCGATAACAGGCGCAGAAAATCACGTCACGGTGGTTAATACGTATACCTGCGCAGACCACCTCTGAACACGAAACAATGGGGACATAAAAAAGATTGTATATGATCAGCAATACTGATTGGGACACCTTTTTCTAATCTAGTACCCATACCTCGGCGAAGTCACTCACGAACTCGCTCACTCACACTCACTCACGCTCACCGCGTCATGGTGAAGGGCTGTGAATGACTTCGTGAACTCGGACCAAGTCGTGATGTGAAGGGGATGTGACTTCGTGAATGCGGAAGGAGTCGTGATGTGAATGGGCGTGACTCCGTGAACGCGAAAGAACCCGTGATGTGAAGGGGGTGTGACTTCGTGAACGCGGAAGGAGTCGTGATGTGAACAGGCGTGACTCCGTGAACTCGGAAGAAGCCGTGATGTGAAGGGGGTGTGACTTCGTGAACACGGAACGAGTCGTGATGCGAAGGGGAGTGACTTCATGAACTCGGAAGGAGCCGCGATGTGACGGGGAGTGACCTCGTGAACTCTGACGCACCCGTGATGCAGTGGTGAAGGACTTCGTGACTCTGGTGTATACGTGATGTGATGGTGAATGAATTCGTGAACTGAATTTGTGATGTGATGGGGACTGAGTTCGTGAACTAGGAGTCAGGACTCAGGAGATGTTGGTATGGATTTGCTTGCGTGTGCGTACTCTTGGCGACTGATAGCCGACTTGACATTTGGTAGTGTCTGCAGCATGTTGGTGCCCTTACACGCACAAACATGCTGTGGCGGTTAGTATAGAGTGTAGACGGAGTAGAAACTTGGAAGGAACTTCTGTTAGAGGCCAGAACGAGATTCGTAGGGGTGGTCTGGTAACGTTTGGGGGAAGCAACTGCAGGGGCGTTTGCTTTG